AAGAAACTGTCAAAGTTGATTCTTTTCAAATTTCAAGATTTCGAGTTCTGCTTTTTCCATATATTATTTTTAGATTGGGAATGTTCTAACAATAAGAATCGATTCTAAGTACGACTGAGCATGAGAATTTCATTTATCTCAAAGTTGACACTTTGTAAATTTTTTCGCTTCAAGATCGACATCTTCGCTTAAAGATTTTAATTCGCACTTTGAAATGTCGTATTTTAGTATATTAATGTGAATTTGACAGGTGATTTTAAGGAATTAATTTTTATTACGGAAAATGATAGTACTTCGATCGCGTGTGCGTCGTAAATGTAAAAATCGAAATTTAAAATTATGACCCATTTTTAAAATAAGGTAATCCGAATTCGCAGTTTTATTTCAAAATCGTTTATAGTTGTGTGAAGTGATTTTTGTTTCGATTTTACTCGCACGCCTTGAAATTTACAGTAGTTTAAAAAACTTGTCAAAGATTTTTTTTTCAAATTCATGATTTATAATTTCTGATATTTTTATCGATACAGATTTCGATTGCAAACGTTCCAACAATAAGAATCGTTTCTAAATACGACTGAACATGAGAATTTAAAATTTTTTTAAGTTGGTCACTTTTTAAATTTTTCGCTTCAAATCGACAACGATCTATCTCCGCTTAAAACTTATTAGCACTTGCAATATCGTGTTTTTAGTTATGTACTTGTGGATTTGACTTTAAAGAATTAATATATAATACGGAAACTATATTAATTAGCGCTACGTGCGCGCTATTTCTCAGTATTATATTAAATTTTAATAGTTTAGAACTTTAATAATTTAGAACAAAAATACGTTTGTCTTAATATTAGAATTATTTTTCCTAATATTAGTGTTATTATTCCTAACATTAGTTTTATAGTTCCTAATATTAGTATTATTTTTTTATAAGTAAGTTTATTTTTCCTCAGATTAGATTTGTTTTTCTTAATATTAGTTTTTTATATTAGTTAGTTGAAAAAAATAGAAGTCGCTACAGTAATTCCCTCCCGAAAAATAAAAAAAAATTACATATACATATATCCCTCCCGAAAAATAAAAAAAAATTACATATACCTTTATCCACTTTTATATTCCACTGCTGCTCTGCTGTAATCCCATATGGTTTGGCACTGATCACTACTTTTTCACTGATCACTGCACTGTTTTTTTTCTATTATTTTATATTTGCAACAATTATTTGTCGCACTTCACTACACACAGATGCACTTCGAAATGAACGGACGATACGAAAAAATTAATATCACTCGCGAATGCATTCGGCACTTTCGAGCATCCCGTTCGATCACGTTCGATATCGCATTCGCGAATAAAAACACGAACAAAACATCTGTTAAAAAAATATACTTTTCCGATTCCGGGAAAGCGAGCGTCCGAATATTAATCACATTAAATCGAAATGCCCTTAAATTCACTCGTGATGTCTATAGAGGTCTATCGCGACATCTCCCGGCGCGCCGCGTTACTTCGTGGCATCGCGAAGTCTCACTCAGGGGAAGCGCCACGACCGTTACGCGGAAGCGTCACGAAAGCTCAGGCGAGTGAGGGGTATGACCGCCCCACCTCTAGAATTTGAATCGACGGTTACAAGAAAGCTTCTCGGACACTTTTTGCAATTCTCAGACACTCCAAAAGATGCTGAAGCACTCGCGAATTACCTCCTCGAGCGGATGATGTCGAAACGATGCACGGGAGCCGCCGCACATGTCGATATATATGTTCAAATATAGTCGTAAACGATATCTTAACCCTCTCCCCCTGCCCCTCACACAGCTCGCCATTCCCCGAATTCGCGATATTCTGAGACCCCGGGGCCCCGTCGACGCCGGGATATCCTTCGACGCGATGGAAATCCTCGCGAGAGTCTCGGGAAGCGAGTAGCGTCGAAATATCCGCGAAAATCACGGCGAAATAGTCTCAAACGAGAGACGCCTTCCAACCCCTTCCCACAACCTCTAATTCGCGATGTTCCGAGGGTCCCCATCGACGCCCGGATGCTCTTCGAGCATATTTCGGTTCACCGCGTCGAAACACGACACTCCCGGACTTGCACTCCCGTTAATTCGCGCACGAAATCCAAACGACACGGAGCATTCGCGACGCACCTTTGCTCCTCTGCCGCTAGACTCGCACTGACTAATGGCGGCGCTGGCTGAAGTTAGTGACGCCGTGACGTCAGAATCGGCCGATTTCATGTGTTACTACGCGCGGGAGTTTCCAACGCGTAAATAATAAATAATATATAATTAGCAAATGTACATAATTTTAATTTGCCGTATTTCTATTATGTAATAAATTGAAATTGTACATAATAGAATTCGATCAATTAATATTATGTACATAATAAAACTTCGGGAATTAAAATTATTTACATAATAGAAATTTAGGTATTAAAATTATAATAATATAATAAAAATTGAAGAATGCAAATTATGTACATAATAGAAATTTGGCAAATCAAAATTTAAAACAATGAAAATTCAATAATTAAAATTATGTACATAATGAAAATTCAGGAATAAAAAATAATTGTAATTGTGCGGAAAAAATTACGAGGAATTTTCCCTTTCTAAAAAATGCATGTTATTTATTCTCGAAGAATTGTTGCCTTTAATAATTATTGAAATTTGGAAATACATAAAAATTATAAAAAATTAGAATTTGAATAATTAAAAAAATTTTTAATTCTCCTAAATAAATTCATTAATGTGAGAAAATGTGTCAATAATCAATTTTTTAAATTAATTTATTGGATTTTATTAAATAATTCTACATTTTCTTTAAGATATTTTCTATAGGTTTTTTAAATAACGTTTCATTAACAGCAGTGACTTCGGCCATTAGATTTTTCTGTTCTTGAGATAGTACTATATTCATTTTTAAAAATGACAATACAAGTTTCCAAAGGTTTTATCTTTAGAATAATAAAGTGCCTTTCCTGAAAGTAGTTTTGTAATTTTGTCGATCATATTATGATCCAGTCTTACAGACAAGAAATTTTGTAATATAGATATATGCCATGACTTTAGCTGCTTGACATTTGTAAGAAACTCTCTGCAAAGAGAAACATTATTTTAGTTGATAAATTATTATCTTTTAAAATATAAGAATTTTTCAAATAAAACGGAATAATGTATTTGCATAAAATTATTATTCTTGTTTTTTAATTAAAAAAAAAATTCGTAAAAATTAATTTAAACATTAAAAATTTAGTTTCTTTGGATAATATATAAATTTTTAGCAGTAAAAAATTTTGTATTCTTGTGCATATGAGCACAGAAATAACGTTTTTATCACAATAAAATTTAATTAATATTTTTTATTAAGTATGCTAATGTTATTAGATATGATTTGGAAAAATATTAGGTAAATCTGAGAAATAAATAATATAACATAAAGATATATTAATTTATATCCAAAAATTCTGAAGAATAATTATTATCTCTATCATGTATATATAAAATGTATATAGTATATAGTTATAAAACATACTCTAAAAGAATTATTTTCTTTTCCGAATCAAATGTGTTCACAATAGTAGTGATCAACATTGTATCTTTCAACTCAGCATTGAGAAGAGGAACGAATATAAACTGCTGAATCTCATCAGGAAAGTTTTTAACGCATTCCACAATTGCAGATGACAATAAACGGGATGGCTCTTCAAGTTCGATTATCTGTAACAATATAAAGAATAAATGATTTATGAGAAAAGAATTTAAAAAATGGATAAAGATATTTAATAATATTATTAGTTATTTAATACCTTTGGCAGCAACAAATGTGTGCACAATATATTAAAATATTTTATTCTCTGTTCAATAGTCATATAGTTCATCGATGCACACAGATTATAAATACCCTTTGGACTTAATTTTCCTGCCATTTCATCCATCATTGGGATAAGATCTTCATTGGATATTTTCTAATTGAGCAAAGTCTAGTCTGCCATTATTTCGTTCTAAACTTTCACAAGCAGACTCTAAAATATCACATCTTTGCGGCAATGTAGTAACAGAATTTTCAGACTCTACAACTATTCTCTCAACTTGCGTAAAGTAAAATTGAGTAGATGGTAGCGATTGGTCATGTATCATCTGTGATTCATTCATTTGGTTTGGTTCATTGTTATCATTATCACTGTTTTCGCTTCTGAACATATTTCTTCTTCATTCTAAAATTAAATAGTTTACATGTAACGTGTTAAATTAATTGTATGCGTACATAATTTAAAATAATGTAATTTATTATATACAAATAATTTCAATTTCATAATAGGAGAAATAATTATTGATTTATAGATTAAGTATTTTTCTAAATAAATTAAATCTGCAACATTTTCTTCAAGATTGTAATTCATAAGAAATACAACAATAAAAAATATTTAAATGCATCTAACCTCTCCTGCTATCACTTTCCACATCGGATTAGCCTGGGCAATATTATCCTTCATCATTTCCCTGATAGAATCGAGTCTCGCTTTGGTCTCTTCTGATAAGGTGTACTTTTGGAAAAAGATCTCCGAATCCGTATCTTCTCGCATTAACTTGCTCATGTTGTGTTGCCTCGCACATGTTTCACTTGACATTGCAGATCAGTAACACGTGGGTTTCTCTGGAATACAAAATAAAAAATTTTTTTAAATATATTTAGCACACTTATTAACAAATTATTTTTCAACAAGCGTTTACACATAGTTGCAAACTTATATATGTATATTAAATATATAGTTATATATATTTTTTATGTAACTTTTATACATATAAAATATTTTATAATCGTTTAATATTATCGTTGATTAACATACGCATATGTTATTTCACAGATATTCGCGCGCATTTACTGATCCACGTGAGCTGTATATCGGGCTTTATAAAAAAAAATTAAAAAAAGGAACGAGAGTGCACTATGTACTATGTACATCCCTGGTACATTGTGCGTTGCTCAACGAGTCAAGCAGCAGAAGCAGCATCAGTCAGTCGCTGGCGATCGACTGGGATCGACGTGTAATTCGTGTCGTGTCGCAAAGTGTATGTTTAGATACACGATCGACAAGCAGCGAGATTTCCAAGCTAAGCGATTCCATGATCACGTCAGCGAGGAACGTGGATCTGCCAGAGCACTCAACCTTCCTCGGCAGCAAGGTAAGAGAGCGATCATTCGCATTTTTTTAAATCAGCGTAAAACTTGAAGACACGTTTGTAAAGAGTATAATCGAGTATTTGGAACATTTGTTTCCTAAAAAAATGGTAAAAAGAAATTTATTTTGTCTGCGTCTCGTTTGACATTTTGTTAGTTGAATCCATGTGTGTGCATAAACTGCTTGTGCATGACATTGAAAATTACAATGAATATGTAGGAACCGACTGTGACGGATAATTGGCTACAAATTGCAAGCAGCTTCCTCACGCGATATTTACTCTCGTAACTTCAAATAAACTTTAAAGAATATTCTCGTAACAATATTTTCTTTGTGCCTTTAATATGCGCTAAACGCTTTCTGCATGTATCGTGATACGCACAATGAATGATAATTCAACTCTTAATATAAAATTGTGTTATGATGATATACTCACAATTGACTCACGTTTACACCACTGTAAGAACGATACAATGAACGATAATGTTCGACACAAATCATTTGTGTGTGATATGTCACAGATATAATATTAATCTTATTCATTGGTCTCGATATTTTGATAGATAAATAATTTCATATAATTCTAACTAGCTTCAATTTATGATTCGACTTAATAATTAACTAGCTTAATAAATTAAAAACTGAAAAAACATAATCAGAACACGCATAATATATGAATAAATTATTATTCGTATGTGAAACAGTGTATATAAAAATATTTAAACCAAGTTTTAAGCCAAACTTAGTTTGTATGATTAGTTTGTTTTTGTCAACCGTAAAATATGTTGAAATCGAAGGATAAAAAAATTTCTCTCTTTCAGAGAAAAATTCTTTGAGATAAATAAAATAAAATAAATTTATATATATATATATAGCAATATATATAATTTTATTTTTCTGAAAGAAATTTTTTATCCTTTGATTTCAACATGTTTTACAGTTGAAAAAAAAACAAACTAAAGGTTTGGTTTGGGTTTAAATATTTTTCTTTTCCCTCTTTTTTTTCGTGGCTTCTGATATAAATATTGCTTGTTTTCATAATCACATAATAACACTTATGACTTCGATTCTATGTGCATGTCTATGTTGCACGCATATTAAATTATCATTAAATTCTGTATTAGCCCGAAGCTCTCTAATTGTAAAGTAATTGTAAAACAATCTACATTAACATTAGAACATTAAGAATTCTTCGTAAACATATTAATTCACTCTATATTGACAATTAATTCATTCTAAATTAAAGTCATGCTTATAAGCAAAAATAATATAATTATTCAGAATTAGCCATTAGTTGACCAGGTATTAATTATCGCGATCTATCTTTCACCTATAAATGCAGCATTAAGTGTTATGTTAAATGCGACGTTGAATAATTATGCGAAGAGCTTATTCATCATTCTTTATACAATAAATATCGAAGTTCAACCGCATCGAAGCATTTGCAATCTTGAGTCAGTCGCATAGATAATTTTCATTTTCATGTCTTTTTTTTATTTCTTTTACTCACTTTGCGATCAAAATAGTCAATGTCATTTTGCGGTTTGATACTAAACCATGTGTGTCATATGTTTCAGTATAATTTATTAATTTTACTCTCACGTCACGTGGTTATTATTAAAACAAAGATAAATGTAGCTATTTTTAGTCTTAATTATTATCGTCAACCAGTTATTTATAATTTATTATTTCTTACTTAATATAATTATATCGTAGAAAAAAAATTGAAAAACGATCATTAATTATCAATGAATTAATCATCACAATTAAAAATTCATTAATCGAATAATTCGAATAAGAACTTCAAGTTAATCTTATCTCATTTATTTGTGGCAAGAATTCTGTTTTGAAATAAAAATTTTCAGTTTTTCAAAAACTTAGAGTTATTCAATTAATTCGATTCAATCATGAGAAATATTTATATATCTCTTTTTGACGGTAAAATTAACAAAATCAAATAAATTAACAAGTAATGAAATCGAATCTATAATAATATGATTTGATCGTTTAATTTTGTGAATCGTAATTGTTTATCAATGATTCGTATGAGAGTTCCAGGAAACTGATTTTAGGCTAAGCTCGATAAATTATTATGCTAGAGTGAGTAATTATACACTGACACGCCATACAGTTTATTTTTAAACTCTCATGTTTTCGATTTTCTTTCAACATTTTTTTTAAATTGTAAAAATAAAAATTTATACGTAAAAACAATAAACTAAAAATAAGATGGGTATTTTTTCTGGTAGTCAGATTTATATACCTGTCATAATAGTTAAAAATTGATATAATATCTCTGATAATTAAATCGAGATAAGTAACATGCACATTGTGTTTGTTAGAAATATCAAAAATAATCACTAAACCGAATATAGTTTCATATTTTTAAAATTTTGACAAATCAATTCACCCTGACAATCTCTCCAGTTTACACAAACAAATTATGATACACATGATATTACAATTATAAAGTAACCTTGATAAAACCTTACTTTTTATGAAAATTTCATTGCAAACTACTGTCATTTAATTTGCAAACTCACCAGAGGCTTTGTCCTCTATTCTACGCCTGTCGTTTGCTATTAAATACATTAGCATCGCCGGAACGCGGAATGAAGAACTGGTTTTGCCACTGGAAAATCCAGGTGGCGAGGCCATTCTGTATACACGTACGTATGTCTCATTTGATGCATGTTGATTGTCACTGAACCGTGCAAATACATATGCAGTACTTGCCGGTGACGCGATGAAGTTACAAATCCGCACAAAGCAATTCGCGAAGAAAACAGTCTATTTTCAGACTACCCGATAAAAAAATGTATATACTATGAATCATGATACGTCGTCAGTCAAAATCATTGGAGACATAATTATATAACAAGTTGAACCAAATAAAATTTGCTATAATTTTGCTTTTGCATTATCTGTACGGTATTTAAATCGGTAATTGTTAAAGTAATATTTTGCAGAGGTATATTACACATTATAAAAGTACTTTAATATAATATGAATTATACCTCTTCTATTTTTTATAAATATTATAAATAATGAAATGCTGTTTCTCTCTATCTCTCTTCCTTTCTCTAAAATAATTGTATGCATAATTAAAATTCCGCAGTTTGAAACTGATTTCTACTTGTTAAGTAATTTCAGTTATATATATGTAAACGCATTTTTTGTTGTGGAATATTTTTTTAAATTAAGCAGCTTAACTATTTTTACTATCAGATGTATATATAAAATTTGCAAGTTTGCATAAAGTAGTATTATTTTATATTCTTAAATTGTTTCTTCGCAGTCTAAAATTATTATATTTCTTTAAATGAGATTTTTCTTATTAAACATCTTGAATCTATCGTAATTGTTCGTTTATTATACCATGTTACTGAATCGCCAAATGAATTCTAAATTAAATCTATCTCTCGGTGTCAACGGCACTTAGTGATTACCTACATCCTCTTTTAGCGCTCTTATCTTTATTATAATCATCGCTATGTACATCTGATTCAGTAAAGAGCTTAGCGCATCAGCATTATATAATAAATTAAATGTGTAGGCGGTAGTTAAATTGCTACACAAAACATATTAAGAAACTAAATTAATTAATTTAAAGCACACTTCAATTCGTAATTTGCTTCTCATTCTAATTATTTATTCATTTTTTTCAATAGACAAGTTTAAGTCTTAAAAGAAACGCTGAATACAAACGTCAACACGATTCATAACGTTGTGTTTTTCCATGATGAGCAATCGATTTTATTCATTTTTCACGGATAACTGATTATGATTAAATGTATCTTTAATAAGTGTATCTTTAATGCAAAAACTTAGCGAATACGTAATTCCATTACGTGAAATGTTTACACTTGTGTTATATTTGCGTTTTGGCGATTTATTTGAATTTGTGAAATGTGATCAAGTTCCAGCCAGATACGAGAAAATATAACTTTGCTTGTCAATCGCTTAAAAGCGATAATCCCTCGTAAACGTAAATCATCCAAAGCTAACAAGGGAGAACGCGCCGAAAAAAGCCTTATCGAAATTTTTGAGAAAAATAAATTATATACATATTTGTGCTCTGAATTTTCGGTCGAATAATTATTTTATTGTATGTGCATTATCATTTAAAAACATTATTATCTTTTGATCGAGTAATGCTGCACGTGCAATTATTATCCCACAAATGACACAACGATGCCAAATTAAGAACGTTACTGATATGCGTGATAAAGATGTGACTTTGCGTTGAACCCAAAGATTACATTTGAAACGAAATAAGAGCTTCACTGTTTCTGTTACATTCGTTACAAAGTAAACGATGAAAAAATAAAAGATTTTTTATTGAACTGCAAATACTTTCTATTAATATATTTTATCAACATATTTTAAATACATGCATATACATACGTATATTTAAATATGTGTTGAAAAATATTATAACAGATATAAAGTAAAAGAAAATTTTTAAATATATACAGTTAGTATAAAGTCTTCAATATATATGTATAAATAACAGCGCCCGTAGAATCTTTTATAAATATTATGTCTCATTTTTATATATAAATATTTTTATAACATATTTTGTTCTCCTTTTTTCTCTCTTCTTTTTTCCCTCGATTTATATCGTTTTACATAAATTAAGAAAAAATGTATATTACCCGCATCGTTATTTTTCATGAGTGCAGAAAGTGCATCGTCAAAAGCAGCGATTGTCCTGATTTGTTTAACTGTGCATTTTATTTGACGAAATAAAAGGGTCGTTACACTCGTACATTACGAACTCTTTGCACTTTTTATTATTATTGTTTTTATATTAATTAAAAAAATTTGAAAGATTATATAATGTTATTAATTGCATATAACATATATTAATTATATATATATATATATTGTATAATTGCAACGAAATTTATTATAAATATATTTGTGTATTTATCAATATTATGTTATCAGAACCGGACAAATATTTGGATTTACGAGCAAAACGAAACAATGATAACACATGCAATTACATGCACTTTCTCACATAACTGTTGTTAAAACTATATTACCATTCTGAATAGATAAACATGCAGATTATCAGTGCAAATAATATAATTCCGGGAAACGGTCAATGTACATATACTACACATCATTGTAAGCAAGAACAGATTTGATTTATAATTTGATCGACTAATATATGCACAGGATTCTTTACAGTTATGTAAATTTTCAAAGTTCAAGTATCAAAGCTAAGGAATGTTCAAATCAGAGATCTGCATGTAATTAACGAATTAACATGTTCATACGAGCAATCAGCGAGGTCATGTTAATTGGCTTTAGAGATAGATCAAAGATATGTAGAGTCAAATACATATGTTGCTTTGCATGTTAGATATTTACATAGTTAGATTAGATTTCCTCCTTCCTCTCAGCCCAGGGCAAGACATAAAAAAATAGCCGCGTAGGTCAAAATTTAATCTCGACTCTTTTATCGTGACCAAAGCGAACATCGGAATTTCCTGTTAATTTTTCAATCGCGAAATGCTCACGCGAGAAGAATCGCATTGGATGACTCGACGAATTTTAAAAGATAATCACGTATATAAAGTTTGATGATGCTTTGGATTTATCCTCACTGCTATTTATCGATATAAAAATGAACAAAATGCAAAACACAGGAATTTCCAATATTCAATATCGGGTGCAAGTCATTTTTTATTTTATTTTTTAATTGATAAAACTACAAAAAAATTATTGTTATTACAAATAATTAAAAAATTCTATCATTTTCTATATTAAAAAAAATACTTTTTAAATGTCGAATGCCAGGTACACATAGCTCATGTATCAATAGATATTAATTGTAAATAATGACAGTTAAATTAAATTTAATAAATGTAAGGTAATTGTATAGATCTAAATATCCTCCTATATCTATTAACTTTTACTATAATTTGCTAGATTTGCATACATAATCATCTCATCATAAAAATAAATAATATATATATTTAAACACACACACGCGCATAATGTCGCTTCAATTTCATATTGCAATTCAATTCCTAATTTGCTTGCAGGGACAACACGTATTTTAAAGAATACTGCAAGCAAGTGATGCGTATTCATAAGCATTTGATAATAGCACCGGAAGCCTGAGATATAAATAGAGCGTTAATTATTTCAAAACTGCATATAATTATGGCAACATGCATGATTACATGCACACAAATTCACACATTATAAATAGAAACTTTGTCTCTAAAAGATATCATTTTAATTGTCGTTATTATTTTAATTAGTTGATAAAGAGATATAATTTTATTGAATTTGGAATCAAATTAAATTAAAGAAAAAAATGTATAAAAAAATACGAAATTTATTTTTTCCTCCAAAAATCTGCATTATCGATTTTCTATTGTTTTAAAGTTCACTTCACAGAAATATATTTTTATACGCTTTCCTACATATTGTCTGCTTCGTATATTTTATTATGCTAATGCGGGAATGCGAATAGAATAAGCGTACCTTTCTGAGAAAACTACTAAATTGGTTACTAGCTGTATCTACTTAACGAAGAAAAACATTGAAGAGTGTGGTTTGACGTAGTCGAAGCATTATTGAATAACATCGCGTGTAGCACATGCGATATTAATGGAAGCTCGAAAGCATATGATCCATAGAATGTTTCTCAGAAATCGTGCATTCTTTTTTTGATTGCAGACAATAAGCTGAAATGAAAAAAATGATAATGACCCTTCTTTTTATTTAATAATTATACATATATTAAAGAATTAGACATCCACATTTTTATACAGAGTAAATACAATAGTTTCACTGTTTTCATTCGCAAAGTAGATTCCCAGAACATGACTTTTTAAAACATCCTAATGTTAAGATGTTCACTTTCAGGCACATCGGGCATTTAAGAAAATGCCGATCCTGTCCCAGTTGTCGCGTCGGTTTCACATGTTAACGACGGACGCGAAAGCAGATCCGCCGCGGACCGGAATCGAGGGCTACACGCACAATCTTCCACCGACGTCGGATGAGGAATTGAGAAAAACACAGTCTAAATCAGCACCTACCACGCCGGAAAAGGAGCACAAGGGTGTTACGACGGAGCGACAGAAATCGGTACCGAACGATGCGAGGCCTACGACGCCCACCGATTTTAGCAAACCGGAAGATCTGGGCGACAACACAAGGTCTACGAGCGAGTCGAAAGAATACAAACGACCAAAGACGAAGACGAAATCAAAGCACAGTAAATATTGTAAGTTATAAGAGGAATATTATTATTCTAAAGAGGTGGAGCGACGCTAACTATAATATTAATTATGCGTTATAATAGGAGAATTGAACAAAGCGATTGTCGAATAGAACAAACTGAGATAAAAGATATAAAAGTGCGGTAGTACTCTCGAGGAAGATTATTTTTCGTCAGAAAATTTTCATTCATAACTTGAATGCAATTCAATGGGGCAATTGCTTACAATTCATATAATATTATTTATTTGCATCAAATAAATTTTTGCTTATATGAAAAGAAGATTGATCAAATGAAAGTAAAATGAATGCAAGGTAAAGCTACAAAATTATTTAAGTGATATGGATACGAGTATAATTAAAAAGATTAGAAAAAGTTGATTAGAAAAACTTTTAGAAATTTGCATAAATATGATATTTGCATATTTATTTTGTACGAAAAACTTTTGAAGAACTTTCTCGGTATCATTTTATGATTCGATTAAACTTGTTAAGTTTATAAATGAAATTAAGTTTCACAACACAAATGGAACATAATGCAATTAAAGAAATTATGCAATGTCAGGTTTCGCATAGTTAAACTTTTTTTTTATAAACGAGTTGATTCGAAAGAGAAGAAATTATGAAAACACAAAATTATCGCGAAAAAATTGCGATTTTGTCAAAATTAATCGGCTTATCAGTTAAATATCTCATTTCATATTCCTGTTATAAAGATCTTTGCGACTAAGATACATATGTGTTATCACGATGATACAATATATCAATTTCACTTGTGTTTTTGTTTAAACTCAACGGGGAATACCTATCAAGTCACAGGTTTATTTACAAAAGTATAAGAAAAAAGAATGAGGATTTTTTTATGACATGTATTTTGGCGCTTGATTCGAGGAAATTGCAAATAAATTATATCATTCGTTTTATTTTTTTAATTTGTATGTTTGTGAGATGCAACAATGTATAAAATTCGATCAGAATCAATGATTCATATTATAAAATTTTCATTTTATCTAAATTTTTATATTTATATTATGAAAATTTTATTCTTCGTCGTTTTAAATTTCGTAATTCTTCATCAAGGTAAAAGGTAAAGAATAGAATGCACGATAGTGAATGATTATGATAGTGAAGGATTTTATTACTAAGATGGTGAACACTGCAAATATTTAATCTCATGCATGTGAAAATATTTGTGTCCTAAAAAGATATTATTAAAGTATCTTCATATATCTTCTTCAATAAATACACTGCTGTTTGTGAAAATTGCAATACCATGAAGAAATAATGATATTAACTGTATTGCAATTTTCACAAACAGTAGTGTTATTTAGTTATAAGTTTATTCACATCTTGTTATTTTATAAATAATTCTCTAAAATCAATTTTTAGCTCAAGGCACGAATGTCATAAATTACAACATCGTCAATTCGAATGGAGTAAAAATCGGCTCGCGGACAAGCTATATATGCAATGTAAATCAGTATCCGGCAAGTAACAACGCATCCGCGACACAATCAGAAGCGAAACCGAATCGATCGATGCCGGATAACGTGGAAGAGTTAAGCACATGCGAAGAGGAACTCGCAACTGACAATATGCTTATTATTAAGACGCATATCGGACACGGATGGCGGGATGTCGCGAGGAGGCTCTCATATTCGGATGGGCAAATCGAACAGTTCGAAGAGAATTACAAGCACAAGGGTATCGACGAGGTGAATATAATTTAATTCAGTTGCTCTGAGAATCAAATATTTGAATAATCATCGACCTTATCGATCTGTAATCTTGTTTGATCAAGATACAATCAACAAGTTGTGTCTGTTAGTAATAAAACAAATATCAAGTATTATTCAAAAGTCACAAATATCTTCCAAAATAAATTTCTAGAGTTAATAAAGTTAGAGCGATCATTTTCGTTGATTTTCAATTTGCACAATAATTTCAGGTAATCTATCAATTGCTGCTCGATTGGAAGCAAGCTAACACACGGGATGCCCAACTCGGCACGTTAGTCAGTATATTGTGGTCTTGTCAGGAGTATGATTGCGTCGAGAGATTGGCGGCAGCACGCAAGAATTCATTTTAGTCAGGCACGGAAAATCTCTAACATTTGTATATATTTATATACACGTATATATAAATTCATATATTTATATACATTTATATGTACGTGAACAATTGTGATCTTTTTTTACTCGAAAACACTCCATTGTTTTTTATACATATCATATTTTAGTATGTAATTTATAGAATGTACAATGTACACAAAAATACATATAATTTCGATCATGAAGAACGTTCGCATTCGCCTATAGATTCAGATTGGCGAATGGGATGATTGCTGATTCAGCTAATTCATATTTAACCTTCGTCCGTTTCGCCAAACGGAATGACAATGAACTTACAATTCAAGCAAGAACATGATCTGGTTAATAATATTTGGACATTATTACGAATCTAACATCATTTTACACAATACATGTATCTACAAATAATATTGCAAAATGTATACATAACATTTTTATCATTTACTGTGTAAAATCTTGTGGAATTAAAAAAACATACATTTTTTAAGAATATTAAATAATTTATTAATTTTATTTGTAATCAAAGTTCACACACATTCGAAAATTGGGATATTTAAAATTATACATTCAAATCTGACGTTATATAAAATTAAAGCGTATGTGCATATACTTGTCGTACTCTTTCTCTTTTAGATTATTCAATTATTATGATTAAATTTACTATATTTTAGATCAATTAAATTAATATACATTGTCCGTATGTTTTTACGATTTTTTTTCTTAAAATTTATACAAAACAGCCATTAAAAAGGTAGAACAGTATGCTTTAATGCATTCAGTATATTCAACAATAATCTTTCTAATAATTTTTACACTCACGTTTTTTGCACATAAGATTATCAAATTTTACGCGTCCTACGCGCATAAACATTTTTCTGAGATACCTATTTCCTAATTAAAGCATACACGAAACCGATATATGTATATTAATTTGTACTCATCTACTAATAAAAAAATTAATTATATCTAATACACACAAGAGATTATAAATGCATAAACAGATATTTATTCTTAAAACACTAATCAAAACGCCAATAATAAGTCAATAAAATATCTGTTGCATCACCAATGTGAATGGTCTTTAAATAACTTAAATTGTCAAATTAATTTTGTAATTTAAGCATTGAGAATGATTGTTGAAATCATGTTTAAAAAATATTTTATATAAATTAAACATTAAATTATATTCACTAAGAAATAGCAAAAGAAATATATATGCAATAGTAAGAATATCACAATGTCAAAATTTTTTCGTATGCAAAAATTAATCAAAATATATAAATGCATGACTTTGAAATTTTAAATTATAGTTGTATAAGTAGTCATTTCTTTGCATTTTTATTTTATACATTTTAATCTGATATTCCAGTTTTAAGTTCTGGTAGTATGCAATTAGTCGGTACCGTAGTTATCGTATTATTTACACCATTATCCTCTATTACCTTGCTAAAAATTTCATTTTTACATTTATCAAATTCTTTCACCATTTCAGGGAGTTCTCGATCACCGTTTATTATTATAACCGGCGCTGGTATTTGTTTCAGAGTTTGATGATACAGCCAGTCATCATGAATTTGATGCATATGCTTAAGATATTCCAATGAAACTGTGTTTTCCTCCTTCCGACCTCGTTGTTTCATTCGATTGTATACGATCTCAGGTGTTGTCCTTAGATATACTATTCAGACAATAAATGAGGAAAAGAGGGAATGGATATATTAGTGATTTTATATATATATCGTTTGATCATAGTATATAATAACTTATAAAATTATATATACCTATTAAGTTAGTTTCTATATTGGCATTTTTTAAAGCCCAGCTGTACCAGTCTTCTAAAACAGTAACTTCAGCATCATGCAATATGTTTTTACGTTTCAAATTTTCAACAAAACACATTGCGCTATAGACAGATCTTTCCATAATTTTATAAGGTGATGGTGTCTTACAAGTATGTAATTGTAGCATGGTCAATTGTACATAAGATTGAAACAGGAAAGCATATCGAGATGGATTACTGTACATTAATTCCTGGAATGTATCATTATTAAATATTTATCTGATATGTAAAAGACTGACATTAAAAACATATTTTGCATGCATTTAATAAAGTTTAATGTCTTAAATAATTTAATTCAATATACAGCATTTTTTATTACTAATAAAATCTTCATAAATCAATGAAACTAGAAAATATTAAATAATTGTACTCTCTGTCTCAACTTAATGTATATCAAAATATTTTCTGTCGCACCAATAAATTTGTTCCAGACACATCACGCCAAAGCTCGACTGGTTCTTCTAATACAGTGACGTTGTCAAATTTTTTGAAATGACTTAGAAATGTTGTTTTACCACTTCCTATATTGCCCTCAACGCATACAGTGAACGGATGTTTATACAGTTTGCTAGCGGAGCCAGACATTTTTATAAAAGCTTCAAGAGCTGCTTTACCTGAGCAGACAATATATTTGATTTCATTATCTAGTACTAAAGAGATAGGATATATTTTTGATTTAATTTTACTTTTATATTCTATTCTATTTATATTCTATTTTCAACAAAGCTTTAAATCACACATACTTTAAATACATATATACAAAAATTTATGAATTATATATTTCTTATAAACAAAGTATATAACTATTTATTATTTATAGAAGAAAATAAAATATTTTATAACAATATAATATATATAAAGTACAGTAATTTTCAATAAATTTAATTAGATAATTCTATATTATTTTTCACTCGATATCAATGCAATATTTCGTTACTTACCATACATATATTGTGCAAAGCTTGATATTTATTAGGTTGTTGCAAGAAACAACGTAGCGTAAATAATTCAGTTCAACGAAAACTTTAATAAGAAAAAATATCGCTGAATTCGTTGAGGCACTGATTCAAAATATCAACTGAACTGTTGACGGAATACAGTTTTTCCGGAAAATTGCTGATTTACGATTCTTTCTCGCAAAAGAAGTAACAGACACACCAGAACAGTCAGAACATACCAGTCGACAACGGATGACGGAGGACTGCCGTGCGACTTTCCCGCCAAAATAAACACAGAAGCGACATCTCCATAACGGATCATCTGTTCGTTTCAGCTGCACTTTCTTCCTTCAAAACACAATAGATCTGTTCTTTGTAGCTAAACTTGCTGCACTAGTTTACAGTTTATCTCTCTCCTTCCAATGCAGAGTAAAAAAGATAAACTCTGGACAACCAGTTCAGCTATAAAGAAGAACAGACCTCTAATTTCATTTTAAGTGAACAAAGTATAGTTAAAACAAACAAGAAAAAAACGAGCAGGAAAAAACAATTTCTCGTTCATATTTTTAGATTTGTCCAAATATTTTAGATTTTATTTACAAAAAGGACGTTTGGAAAAAATTGAGATTTATATATATATATCGTGCTTGTAAATATGCCTAGACAAAATCTTGCGCACATTTCTGCATATAGATTTTATTAATCATTAATATAGAAATTATACTGATTGTCCCGAAAGAATATTTAGCTAACTACGTCACTGATGCCGGTGCCTATACATTTTCTCATGAACTACATTTGCTGTTCTTATAATTAAAGTACATAGCTGATTAAAGAATGATCCCCCAATAATAACATAGCACAATAATAATTTTATACAATTTATATATTTCTGCCAATGATTCATATATAATAATATATCAATTCGTTATTGTCGTTATGTCAATAATTAAACACGCTGCCATGTGTCATTTACACAATATATGTATGCACACAAGCCATTGCAATGACACGTTATCAACACGATACGTTATCGTAAGATAACAATCGTACTTACCGGAAGCCATCGTTGCGACTTGAACGAATACGATGTATTCCAAATAATTTGTCAGATATTCGTCAACGACGCTCCACGACTTCCATTTCCTACACATTTCTGATGCAACTGCGTTCTGAGTGTGCGCGCAACATGTATATAGCATCTCAAATGGCACTATACATACATAATATTGATTCATTTGGAAGATGTATTTATAACAGTTTTATACTTAATCGACAGCTGATCAGAAAGAAATTATTCTAGATGTTACCATCAGAATCATGGTACGACAGCAGGATTACAGTACTGTCAAAAACAGCTGATCTCGTACCTGAAGAAGTCACCGTGCAGTAACGCCCTCTCAGTAAATATATAATTCTCAATGCTTCGTCTAGCTCTATTACTTATGTAATGAGTGATGTAATTTAACTATTCACATCAATATATAGGTGTGCGAGTATGTAAACGACATAATGACAATAAGTTTAATTATTGACATTGATGAAAATATATAGAATCTTTTGTTATAATGTTCCTACATATACAACAGTTCTCATATAGTTTTGGCATTCCGAAAAGTTCTGATAATTATAAAACACTTAGAAATTTTTGAAATAATTATTTTGTTAGAAAAATGAATATTTTCGAGTTTAAAGGTGATACGTCAGTTGATTTTCAAGAGTTCAATTTTTTTTAAAACAGTTTTTTTATAATGTTTGCCATATACAATGTCTTTCCAGTTCTGATAATTAAAACACTTAGAAATTTTTAAAAATAATTTTAAATAATTAGCAAATGTTTTAAATAATTATTTTGTCCGAAAAATGTTCGAGTGTAGAGTTAAGATACGTAATCATTTCAATAGTTCTATCTTTTTAAATGACATTTGTTGACATATGGCTTAAAAAAACAGAACTCTTGAAAATCGACTGGCATCTCACCTTTAAAATCGAAAATATGCATTTTTCTAACAAAATAATTATTTTAAAAAATTCAAAGTTTTAACTATTATATACAGTTTGATCTAGTGATGGATTCAAGACAAGACAAGACAAGAATCGGATATACTTGTCTTGTCTTGATTTTTTTCAATCAAGAATTATTATGTCTAGATCTCGACAGTCAATTTCTTATCTTGATTCTTGAAAGATTCTTGCAAGATTCTTGATACTTTTATAATATCTATAGATATTTATTTAGAACATCTTGATTTTATTATTTTTGAAAATTTTTATAAACATTATCAAAAAAAATGTTTTTGACAGAGAAATGTTCACTAAAAACACCAAAAAATTTATGAAATGTTATTAAAACATAAAATTTTGTATTATTGATAAAAATAAAAAATAAATATAAATATCAAAAATAATAAAAGACACGGTATTGCCATATTGTCGCTAAATATTGCCATAATTTTACATAAATATTTATATTTCAATGTTTTATTAAAATTTAAAGCTTAAGTAATATAATTATTATTATAGTAATATAATTATTTTTATCAAATAAAAATTTCCTATATTCGAAATAAAAGACTTCGGTTTTCAGTAAAACTATAAAGTTGATTGTTTTTAGCAATTTAAATTTTGCATTTAATTATTTAAATTGAGACTGGACGGGAGGAGCTCAGAGTGATTGTAGTGTTAAATAACCTCGATAATACACACACACACACACACACACACATATATATATATAAATTTTTTACATATAACTACAATTAAATAATTAAAATTACGTATATAATAATGTATATATAATTGTAGTTTCAGTTATCAAGAATCTTGATTGATTTTTCTTGTCTTGCCTTGATCTTGAAGCGCAAATCTTGTCTCGTCTCGATTTTATCAAGTACAAAAAATTTGTGATCTCGTCTTGAAAAATCAAGACAAGATGAGACAAGATCTTGAAATTTCTTGTCTTGCCGTCCATCATTACTTTGATCGGAGATCTATCTTTTTAAATTAGAAGAATATTTTATAAATGAAATCTCTCTCTTTCTCTCTCTCCCTTTCTAAAAAAAGTTTTAAACATTTTAACAATTTCTTATGCTTTTCAAGATAAGATATTCGTGAAATGATTATGAAAACTAATAAGTATAAAAACGCGCCTTCGTTCGTATTTCAATGATCACTCTACACGCCTTCACATCAACATATGGTCGACCATAATTTCTGTCAAAGTACGCCGCCCCATGAACGAAAAGTGGCACAAACGCGCGGCCCGTTTTGATTTATAATACCGAACGATCCTAGTTACAGCTGGAAGCGTATATCCGGGACCGAAAAGGTATCTGGGATGGGAGTATACTACTAGCTGTCATAAAGATGAAGAATTCTTGGCTTTGAAAGTGACCGACGCAAAGTATTATAACAGTTAGATGAGTATTTTTATTAATCATTTCATCGTTTCCATCAGAGGAAACAAGTCCAATGATATATTAGACTTTATAATCTGACTGAAACAATCGAAATAATTAAAGGAAAAAAAACAGATTTGCTATAAAGAAGAACTTTATAGTAAACAGAAATGATATATTCAATCCGAATATATGAAATAAATAAAGAATGAGCTCAGAAAAACTGCCAATAAGAAGACGCTTTTTGACTTCGAAAGTAGATTTAATAAGATAAGATTTTAAGCATCTTAGATTATATTTATTGAAATTTGCATTTTCACGGTTTAAAATAGAAAAAGTGCACTCTAAAGATACAAGAAACTAATTAAATAAAAAAATATTGAATAAAAACTCTTTTTACTTAATTTTTTAAATATACAATTATAACTCTTGACTCGATTAATATGTATAGCGTACTTCAAGTATTCATACAATCTATATTTATATAGCATAACGATGGTAAGATTAATTTCGTTTGAAGATAAATTGACGATGAGAAATTGGCCTGAGATCCTTAGCTCATCTTACATTAGATCATCGAAGGTGCGCGTGCCTGGAGATATTTGAATTTCCGTCGAGTTCCGAACGATTCCGTGCGCTTCGCGACGTACGCAAACTGTTCGGTGTCTATTTTGAAACTCAGAGTATTTATAAACTTATCTTTACTAGCGCAAAGTGTAGTGTACGACCCTTGCGTAAATGGAATTGCTACGATCTTAGCATTTTGGCCACATTTAAACACTGGACAAATGGTCCAATCAATCATTATATACCGCTCATTTACACACTCATTAATTAATCATATTGTATGAATGATACTTGCTCGAATAAGTCATGAATGAATTTTCTCCTGACCGAATTTTTGATACTTATTGAATTAGTGTTGTACAGTTTAAAAGTATCATATATTTTCTAAAAATATAATAGTTCCTCAAACATAATTAGATACTTGTACGAATCTTTTGATTTCTATCAATTTTTCTCTAGTCAAATAAAACAATTTTATTTCTTTTTATACTTTTATATTGTTAGATTTCTATTATTATATTGTTATTATATATTAATTTTTATTTAAAGAATTATATTTTTTATGTATATATAGATACACTTCAATTTCATTCTGAAATAGAAGATTGCAAAGGATTAAGATTATTTGATCGCGGTAGTTATTGAACATGTCTTAGTTGTTTATAATTTACTGAATTTTCTGCGTGCGATAAAACACGCCTCTCCTGGAAGGCTGGCACGTATTATTCATCACATCACGTGCCTTTACATTCATGCGGCCCTGCGGGAAACCGAACGGTCAGCCAAGGGGTTCTCGAGATAATCTCGGAAAAGCGGGATAAATAACCAGACGGTCGGCAGACTGATCCGTATACTCGTTTATATTTGGATGGCGATGTGTCTTCTGCCATCGTCGCAACCTCGCGCGAATTGTAATAGTGTGTCATTCTGCATCGCAGTTTTATGCAATTTCACTGACGTCGCGGCTGTTCGTCTTGATCCAAGTCGAGTGTGGGAAGTGAAAATCCGAGGGACGACAAGCGAACTCGTCGACTTGTTTTCTTCGCGGCGTCAGAATATTTGCGAAGCAAATCGCATTGATAAAGAAAGGAAAAAAACGCATTTCTTCTGATCTAACATTCCCTAAAACATGTTTCGCGCCTTCTGTATATTTTTATCCAAGGATTTGTTTAAAAAATATTTTTACAAAAAATTAAGTTATATACGCTCGCAAAAAATTCTAATAGGAATTTAAAGAAAATTGATAAAATCAATGTCTGAAATATTTTACGAGATTATTATTGCTAATAAAATAATTAGCAAATTTCCCTTAAACTCATTTTAAACGCAATTTATTGTGAAGTCTTATTGTATATTGTCGGAACGAACGGAATTTCTGGAAATCACACGGTACCCCTATCAATTTGTTTTCGGTTTTTTCCTATAATATATATAAGTACGAGAGATTCGACGGCGACAGTCTTCGCTAAGCGAGATCTTTTCTCCCGCGAGTTTCCCATGACAGAATAGACGGATTCGTGCCATGTGATACTGTTTTGACTGATACTCGCTTGCCAGCGGAATCTTGTCGCAAGGAAAAACGAAACTAGAAGGTCACGGGAGAGCAGAGGCCAGAGAGAAGAACGGAGAAATCTCGTAACTTGTTCTCGTGGGACCAACGCATAAATGCTTCTCAAAATCTTCATTGTCACATAAAACGTCATTGTGAAAGAGAATGTTTCAAAAAACACACTTTAACTTTTTCTCACTCAACACGATTCACGAAATAGAGAGCTATAATTCTATATTTATTAACTTCTATCATGATGTCAACTTATATATCCTTAATGATAGCAAATAAAAATATGATTTCTATAAAATATTGAAAATTTTTTTATGGATAATTTTTTTACACTAAAAAATGTAACGTTATAAAATTAAACTCGTAATTTATATTGCAATAATCTCCGATTGCTTTTTAACATAACAGGATATCTTTCTGCACGCTTGTCGCATGCATTAGCGTTTTTTTGCAACCCTTTGATTCTGGCCAATTTGCGAGTGACCTTAGGTTTCAATTACGTGCGTTCGTTTCGAGTTACGATGAGAGTGAAAAAGCGCCCTTATAGCAATTTTCGACCAGACGGCGGGCAACAACAAACAATTTAGATCTGCGTCCGCTTTTAATTCCCGGGAATCCACTTAGACACGGCCGATTTTACACCGCCGACCAATAAAACTGTCGAC